ACTCTGCCTGTCAAAAAATAAAAATAAAATAAAAAAAAAAAGTGGTGTGTGAATCTCAAAGAACATGAGTCCTGCGTACCGGGAGAGTGTACACCAGCAGTTTCTAGCCAAGTCTTAGTGCACAGGAGCAGAGTGGCTCAGGAAAGAGTAACCCAGGTTTCCTATCTGTCACGGATTATGCTTCCAATTCCCCCACATAGTTAACATCGTGGCTTCTGTGTGGACTTTGCAACTCACCTTAACACTGAGAAAATAACCCATCAACTTAATAGGCATTTATGATGGGCACAGGTCCCATGTTGGAGCTCTGGAACATTCTAGAAATATGACATTGACTGTGTTTTCCAGCCACTGGGGGCAGGAGAAGCAACATACAAGCAGAATGCATGCTAACCACCAGTGTGAAACGCTGCCCCGCCGGTCTGAGAGTGCCCAGGTGAACCTTGGCTAGGTGTGGCGCACAGGACTTGGGGGCTACACGTTTCCCTTTTCTCTTCTAGAGTGAAGCAGTGTGCACCTCTTTAGAGAAGTTCAAAGATTCAAGAGTTCAGGACTCGTCAGGCAATGTCCCATGGGGATATGGCCATAAAACATTCTCAGGATCTTCTGGGAGGGGGTCTGTCCCACCCTTGATGCCAGCAGTAGAGATGAAGGCAGACGCAAAGCAGGACAGGTGGAGCGGTGGAGGGAGGCCGATGTCTGTGCTGGTGCAGCTTAGGTTTTAGGAGCCACTCTGGCACTGTGTTGGACATGATGGTGGGCAAGCGACTTGACTCCCCTGAGCCTCATTTCCCTCATCCGGGAAAGGGGGGTGAGCACTCTGGCAGAGGGTGCCCGTGCTCACGGGCACCTGGTTCCCCTCTTTTTCCTGGCCACATAGCCAGATTATACTCGCAGTTGGGTGTGGCCACGTGATTGAGCTCTGGTCCACAGAATGTGAGTAGAAGTGAAGTGAGTCCCTTCCAGGCCTGCTTCATGAAAATATCCCTTGTGCAGTCTGTCTTCTCTTTTGCCCTGTGCTGGCTGAAGAGAGGAATCCCGAGCTGCTGGAGGGAGGGGGAGGTGCAGGGGAGGATGCTGAGTCCTTGCAGGGCTGCACGGAGCAGAGCTGCCTTCCTAACCCGAACGCAGGAGACTGTGACGTGCACAAGAAATAAACTTCCATTGGATTAACTACTGGAATTTTGGGATTGTCCTAAA